TTGTATATGTAAACCTGTGTACTTCTTGAATACTTCAAATGAAGTTACTTTCTTACTTGGCTTACTAGAAAAAAACAGCTTTATACACCCTGAAAATCCCTAACTTTCTGCTGTGTGCTGTAGTTTGGCTAACTGATCCTTGTGATGTATCACATAAGTACCCAATGCATAATTTTCTGTGAAATTATTAGGGTACAGGAAAATGGCAATAAGTGGAATATTTATAACTGAACAACTTGTCAATCCCCTTTTTGGGATTCCACATTTCAATGCATGTGTACAAAATACATTGGTGGAGGCTCAGGGGAGACCTTCTCACCCTCTGCAACTCCCTGACAGGAGGTTGGAGTCAGGTGAGGGTTGGTCTCTTCTCCCAGGCAACCAGCAGCAGGACAAGAGGGCACAGACTCAAGCTCTGCCAGGGGAGGGTTAGGTTGGATATTAGGAAGAGATTTTTTACAGAGAGAGTGCTCAGGCATTGGAATGTGCTGCCCAGGGAGGTGGTGGATTCACCATCCCTGGAGGTTTTCAGGATGAGACTGGATGTGGCACTTAGTGCCATGGGCTAGTGACCACAGTAGAGTTGGACTCGATGACCTTGGGGGTCTTTTCCAACCTGGTTGATTCTATGATTCTATTCTATGGTATTTCTGATTGCAGATGAGGATTTGAAAGAAAAAGTTGAGCACAAAAAGGACTATCAGTTTCTTGTCCTCCCCAATGTCCAGAATGTTTTTAAATAATTACATCACTTGCCATTCAATTTCCTTAATGAAAGTATCCTAATGAATGTGTAAATTTGTCACATATACGTTTGATAGTTCAAGCATGATTGCTTTAATCATGATATAGCAAATTGTGGAACTAACATATAAAAGGGTAACAGAGGGTCAGAATGTTGTGCATTTCTGAATTAATGTTTGCAAAATAGGGTTAACTTTGAGAAATAGGAACACTGAGTTTTCACACAGATCTGACATAGATGTACTTCATGATTCAGTCTTCACTGATGTCAAATCATTCCACATATTATGTCCAAGGGGAAGAGGCGAAATAGCAGAAACCAGAATTTCACCCTGTGTTTTTCAAGAAGAGACAAAAGTAGTGTCACTTCTTTGCCAATAAATTGTGTGCATTGTTATCTTTTAGTCATCCTGATAGCTTATTAGCATTGCCATGGGGAAGCAAGAAGCTAATGAGATTGGAAAGGTTCTGCTCTCATTAAGGAATCTTGACGTTGCATTTATACAAAAATCACTGAGAATATAGGATCATAAAAAGTTTCTTACTAATTTTCAGCTTTAAGCATGGGGTTCAAGAGAGCTCAGAAAATCATTTTAAACCTGTGCTGCACAGTTGGTACAATGTGTCAATATACTGATGATACTTTACTTTGTTAATAGTAATATTGTCCTCGTGCTGTGCACAAAAATGGAAATTGAATTAACAAAAAAATGATGGGCTGTTTATTACAACACTCATTTAAAAAAGATGGGGTTTGTTACTGCATATAAGGACTTATAACTGTGTTAACTAAGTATTGCAGTTTTATTTAGCAAGTCTGTTTGATAGAATTGTTTTAATGTTCTTTTTAGAAACAGTTAACATAAAGGAGTGAAGGTCTTTTCTTTCACTGAAATTTAGCACTCCTGTTAAGCATGTACTGGCTTATTTTCTAGGCTCACTTTTTTTCCAGCTGTGAGTGAGAAACTTCAGGAAAACATTCCTAAAAAGCACCTTGAGGTGACTAAATTGCTACTTCCTTTATATCAAGATGGACAAATTGAAAATCTGCCAACCACAGTCACCAGTGCAAGTCCTGCTGGACTCCCACCCAAACAGATGACACGTTTTGCCTCCTCTGTGATGCAGATATGGGGGATTGATAGTTTCAAAGGTAGGAAGTTCTAGACCAACCTTGTAGATGATGAAAGCAAGTGGCATTCCTCCCTGTTTCCTTTGTCTCCCCATCAGAATAAGAAATGCTGTCATGGGAAACACTGAAATCATTTTAGAGGCTTTTTTTTAAAACTGCAATGGCATGAGTGTCAGCAGTCAGCAGCAAGTAGATAACAAATGTTGCAGCACATGGTCTGCTTTGAGAAGGTCTCTTAGAAATCTGCAAGAACATGGCCATGGCCCTTTTTATCAAGCGAGGAGCAGTACTAGCAGAGCATTTCATGTCCTGTGTTGCATGCTCATAACACAGACCTTTCAGAAGGCTTTGTTTGCAAAATATGGAAATGAAACAATAGCATTAGCAAATGGCTAACCCTAAGTTGCTAATAGGACTTGCTTAAGCAGCTCTCATTAATGGCCTGTGCTGGTTTGAGCTGAAGTAGAGTTAACTTTCTTCCCAGAGGCTAGTATGGGGCTGTTTCTTTCCTCATTGCATAATACAGAACAGTTTGGGAGAGGGTTGTATGCTGCTAGCCAAAGAATTTATTCTGTGGTATTACAGTGGGCATGTTGCTCCTGTTCCGTTATTGGCGTTGCTGTTTTATGGATGGGTATGCTCAGGACCAGAAGGGTTGAAATCAGAGACTTAGCAGTAGCTAGGGTTGAAGAGATGGTTAAAGTGTCAAGACTGTGGCACTCAGAGCTGAGAGGAAGGGCAGGGGGTTATTAATCTGCTAATCGAGATGCCTAGCTGGCATTCCTTCACATGGCACAAACTCAGTGATTTCAGATAAAGGTTCTGCATCTCAGATCCCCATATGGAAAACTGGACAAAAGTATTTTTTTTTCTTCAAATGCTGTAGTTAAAAGCCATAAGATTAGGAATGGCTGGATCCGTTAAAGTGTTGAGTAGCCTAAAATTTCTGTGACACTAAACTGTTGGAAGCTAGATTCATTTGTATCATCCTTGCAGAACATAATCATCTTAGAGAAGAAGTCACTCAGTAAATGTTTTTATAGTAACGACCCTTCCCACTTTCTATAAACCTTTAGAAAAGTACCTACCTTTAGGATAATGCCAAGTACTTGATGTTTATAACAAAATAATCAGTGTAGTTTGACTAATAAGGATTAGTACTTTAAACAGCTTTTCTGTAACCTCAGCATTAATAGTTCTTATTTCACTTTATGATTGGATCTCAGAGAAACGATGGATGGTCAAAATGAGTTGTGTGTCTTGTAATGCATTATAGCTGCTTTCTGATGTTGGGAACAGCCCTGGGACTGAAATCCTCAAATAAGGGAACTCCAACTTCAAACTTCTGTATCTGTTAAACACAGAAGTCTTCTCAGGTGCAAACTGATCGTTCTTTGTGCACTGCTCAGGACTGATATTGCATTTGTGGCCTTTTACTGTCAAACTTTTGTTTCTATTTTGTGGCATACAATTGTATTTCCTTCCTAAGGTTCTGATTTGCATTCACTGAGCCTCTGCAGCACCTTAAGATGTTTTGCCCATTCATAGACAGTTTGAGCTTAGAAACGCTTTGCTATGAACTGGCACAACTGCATCATGATTATGTGTTCTCTGCTTCAGGGTTTGAACCTCCAGTACAGCTTCAGGCCAGGCAGAAAGGAGTGTACAGCCCAAACTGTGCCAGCAAGATGTGTCAAGAGTTGTCAGCTAAAATTGGGTTCAATTCACATTCAACAGTTTCCATCTTTGTTGTTCATTCCCTTTGTTTCTTGGACAGGATTGTTTCTTAAGTCTCTCTATTTTTATTTTGCCAGTTAAAAAGGAAAGTCTGTCTGTGACATGTGCAAATTCCAGTATAAAGTTAGTGAGAGAAATTCCTTAAAATTAACAGAGGGGCCAAAAATTACAAAATCTCCAGGGTTCCAAGAGCTTTGTTAGATCATTGGTTACCAAATACTACCTACCTTTGTTAAACAATCCAAACAGCTTATTCAGTTAACTTGTTCTAAATTCTTCTGAAGTCTCTGTTTCTAACCAGGTCGCTGTGGCACTAAAGAAACAGCAGCTTCAGTGTTCAATGAATATTTAAAAGCTACTCTGCTTTAGAAGCTGACTGTTGGTTAGATTTCATGTTTCCTGTTTAGGGCCTGAATTTTTAAAGTTTCTCCAGGTTCCTCTGTTTGAGACTTGGTCCTAACAGAAAGAGGGAAACCAGTGAGTCCTTTTCTGATTTGCATCATTGTGGCTTAACTTTTCCTTGGTTCCACAAAAAATATAAGTGGATGTGTTTGAGTAGGGTTTTAGGATTAATACAGTATGGACATTTTTATCCTGGGAATAAAAATTCATTCTTCAATTATTCTCATCATCAGTGTGTCTGTGCTTTTTTTTACTTCTTCCAGTGATCTTTCCAGTTGAACAATTAGTTGTATGGCAAGTGATCAGAAAAAAAAAAAGACAGGTTTCAGGGGCAGGTGGCAAATTTTTTCAAGGTTAATAACCCATTTGTAATGGAATATGGTGACCTTAAGGAAACAATGATTCGTAAATAAAACTATACAGGGATCTTGCACTTCACTGCTCAGCTCTATTGACCCTGAAATGCAACCACCACAGAGGAACCAGCAGAAAGTTGGTGATAATAAATAACATCCCTTGCTGGTGACACCACCATAAATGTTCATCATAATAAACAGATATTGAGAATGGAGAAACATACAAATTAAATGCAATCTGGAACAACATACAGCAGTGTGATGTTTGAAAAAATTGTGAGTTTTGACATCAGTACCAAATATGTCCCCTGCTTAGGTGTGCTTTTTGGACCATAAGCATTGAAAGGTCTGTCAGTGGAGTCTTTCTATGAGATTGTCTATAGAAATCAAGAGTTATAAGTTAAGCAGGTCAAGATTTTAATTTTTAAACACTGGCCTAAAAGCAGGGTAACCTCCTGATCAAAGGGTTTGTCTTCGCATGATTTTTCTGAAGATTTTTCTCCACACAAATATGTATTCAGCAAATGAATGTGTTGTTTCCAGGTGTTTTATATCTAAAAACATCTACAATTCTATATTTGTATAGTGTGTGTCAATCCTCATTTCTGTTTTTTCTTTTGTTTCTGCAGTTTATTGTGGAGTGTCATGGAAATACACTTCTTCCCCAGTTTTTGGGCATGTACCGACTTACTGTTGATGGAGTTGAAGTATATATGGTTGTTACAAGAAATGTGTTCAGCCATCGTTTATCTGTGTATAGAAAATATGATTTAAAGGTGAGTCATACCTGCTGATGAAATAACTGACAAAGTCGCTGGAAATCTTTGCTATAAAGGTTAGATTATGCTGGTGCTTGAATATTGCTCAGAATTTTAGTTCATTTTAAATTGCATTATGTAGGAGACAGCATTAACTGGTTTACTTCTACACCTAGAAAGGTGTAGAAAGAAACTGAAGGATGATTTTATAGAAATTGTACAAATGCATTTGTTTAGTGCATTTTTGAATGCAGCAGTTTAGCCAGGTATGTTTGCTAAATGTAATTAGTGGTTAAAAGTAAAACCCTTCACACTAGTACAGTAATAATTCTGCTTCCTATTGGGTTTTATCAACATTATGGAAAGCCATATCTGATTCTGCAGAGAGCTTTTATAAGACAGCTAAATATCATTTCAACCAAGAAATGTTACTAACAAAGTGCATCTCTTTTACAAAAGCTTCATCATTTCTTCACTATTTTTAAAATAATTCAAGTGAAAAGAAGGATCTTAAAACACAAAATATCTCTTGCTTTTATCGTAAGATCTGTTCTAGTGTTGTTTCAGAAGCTTTATCTGCTCTTTGTAATTTTGCCAATGGTTAATATACAGTGCCTAAACAAATGCCCAAAATACAGTCTGTCTTTCTGCCTAAGGGATTGTGGTTTTATTTCCTTCATAAAGTATCCACTTAGAAACCTACTTCTCTCTAATATATGTAATTTCTATGTCCTGAACCACTAAATGCATCTGCAAGTTTGTTTTAAGATGTTTATCCTTCTGTATCAGGAGATTTTTTATGCTCCATACTGCACCATCCCTTCCTACTGTTAAGTCTCACCTAGCTCTTGGTTACATAGTTGACTGAACTTGATTTGTAAGAAGTGATTTCTGGATTGTCAACAATTTGCTTTTTGATACCTAGTATTATTGGCAGCAGCTGTTACCAGAGCAAGTTATTTTTTTAATTCAGGAGACTGTGTGTGTTTTAGAGCATCATAGTGTCCAGATGCATTAAAAAAAGGCACAAAAGCACAACAGAAACGTAAAGTATATACAGTACATTCTTAACACTGATGTCAACAGCTCTTGCTGTTATTTACCTCTGTGAATGCTTCTGCACTCTGTTCAGTTTGTCCAGCTGGACAGAATTGCTTTAATCTCTCATGCAGTTCAAATTTAACATCAATATCACATTATTTTTCAAAACTGACTCCTTCACCGAGCAGATTTATAGGGACACTGCATATATTATAAATCACATTTTCTTGATTTTTCTTTACTATGGCATCCACAGCTGTAGATTCAGAGTCCTTTTTTGTAGGTGAATATTTCTGACACCAGCTTAGAGCTCACTTGTAGCACAGTCTCTGCCTGTGTAGATTCTAAGAAAAAGAGACCACAGATCAGCACAGGATTTCAAATGTATTTCCTTGGCCACAGAGTCATTTTGTTAAGATGACTTCAATGTCATTTTTTTGCTAAAGGTCAAATTCGGCAATCTCTGTAATTTTTACTATTGTGAATCATTTTTTTTTCCCTTCAGTTTGGTTTTCAGCTAATCTTTTTTCTGGCCTAATAGTCGGTTGGAGCACAGAATACAATATAAAAGGTGTCTCATCAATAAACTAAAATGTCAGACTTTTGCCAGGCTTTATTATCAGTTAGCAGTATAATGCAATGAAATTCCTGCTTGCTGGGCCACACATAATAACTAAGAAGTACTGTCCCATGTATCTTTTTTCTCCATCTGTTCTAAACTTTTTAAGTTTCTCTCTGCAAACAGAATAAAACATGGAAAAAAAGACATAGTTGCAAATCCTTACATTCTTTAAACTAGTAGGACTCCACTCCAGCACTTCTTTACACAATGCATACCTTCCAAAACAGTAGAGCTAATTTACCCATCTTTCAGTGTCCAATTAGCATGTTTGTAGTCACTGTTTCTTGCAGTGCTATCATGTGATAAACAAATGCTGGATCCTTAAAGGTGTGATCCTGCTCCAAGAAATTTGTAAGGAAATACATGCAGTAAATTTTTGTTAGCTCCAGCTCATTCAGAAAGCACCATATTGCCTGTTAGTTTTAAGCTAAAAAAAATGATTTTTTTTAAAAAGGATTAAATATCCAAAATGTCTTTGACAAATGCTGTAAATCTTATGAATCCACAGGTGGTCTCATCTCTTCTTTTTACTCCATGTTGCTGTGAGGTGCATTGTTCTCGTTTGTACATTGTGGTTGTGTTTATATTGTGTGACATCCTTTTCAAATGTGTCATATATGTCCAAAGAGTTATATAGAATAGGCTCTCCCATAACTATACAGCTAAATTGGCACAAAAAGATGAGAAGTCTACCAAGCAAACTGAACTTCCAGGATGATAGACTCAAAATGAGGATGAGAGATGAGGAAGAAGCTCCAGGAATCAGGACATAGATGTCGAGCATTTGAGGATTTAATCCATCTTTCATCTCTAATGATGCATCTTCTTCAAGTGACTGCAGCATTTTGGTGGTCCTGGGCATTCTACCTACTGTATCCCCTTCCTTTAAAACAGCTCTCGAGTCCAGGATGCAGTTCATCCACTTTTTGACCTGTTATCATAACATTTTCAAATTACTTTCTGACATATGCACATTTTTAGATCCATTTTTTCTGTTTCAGGGCTCTACTGTGGCTCGAGAAGCCAGTGACAAAGAAAAGGTATGGTGCATTTCTGTTGCTTTTTCAGTTATCTAACCTGCTAGCTAGTCTTGGAACAAACATAACCAGTGCTATCTGCCCCTTTTCTTTTTTTCTGCCATATTCTCCCCTCAGGAGTTCTGCCTTATCCCTCCTTTATCTTTCCTCTATTTTCTGCAGACCTTTGAATATTGGTTTGCAGTGGTGTTGAAATTTCAGAGGTAAGTGAGCCAATCCTCTACCTCCTCCTTTTCCTTTTTTCTCTTCTCTTAGTTTCTTCAGGGCCTGCCCTGTGGTAGGAAAACATCAGGACTTTGCTCTCTTCCCACCTGCTTCTTCATCTTCTTTCTCTTGCTCTTTTAATATTAAGATTTATGGATACTCCATGTCAGTTAATGGAATGATGTGGCGTGACAACACTCCTAAAATGAATGCAAAGATGAGCCAAACCTTGAATTGTGAGAACCTTTGGGTATGTAAAGCTCATACACATGAGCAAATGACTGACAGACTTAGATGTACATGTAGCTATAGTGAGAGACAGTCTCCCTCAAATTGTGGAATGAAACTTTGGTCTCAAAGGAAATTGATTGCTTTGTTTTTCAGCAACTCCAACTTCAGTTCAGTTGGGAAATGTAATGTTCTCAAAGTTAACTTTTCTTTGAGTTGTTAGTGAAATAGCCTGATCACACTTTAGAAGAGGTTTGTCTAGAGATTCTGCATATTATTGAAAATGGAACATAGTCTGCATCATCTGAGACAGAGAGGTTTGTCTAGAGATTCTGCATATAATTGAAAGTGGAACATAGTCTGCATCATCTGAGACATCTTAGATTTGAGATTTGGGTGAAGTCTAATGACCTATGACCTTTGTTTTCTTAATTCAGCAGATTTGGGTGAAGTCTAACCACCTATGACCTTTGTTTTCTTAATTCAGCCAAGCACATTCGTTCTGAATTAGCACAAGATCATTCAACAGTTCACTTAAGAGACTTCATTTTATGTTGCCCCCAAATTCCATTCAGATCATTTGTTTTTCTCCCAAGCATTAGTTGTACCTCTCTGAGTCTTTTACAGGTCACACAAGTGCACTAAGGAGTAAGGGACATGCAGTAGCTGTCAGTCCTGCAGCTCTCGCTGCATAAAACCTTCTATGGAAAGTTTTTCCACTTCACCCTAAGGCATGACTGACCACTTAAAATTCTTCTTCCAGCATTAGGCAACTACCATGTCCCAAATAACAGCTGCAGTAATGATTGTCAGCATTAGTTCTCTTTTGCTGTACCAGGCCCTCAAGATCTTGTCTTGAATGGTCTCTGTTCTCTTCTTGTCATCTATTTTCGTTCTTGTTTAGTAGCACAACTCCAGTGTTTTCAAAGTGGAGGAATTAACCCTTCAGTGTCTTACAAGCAATACATAGTGTCATTGAAAACCTCTGCTGGTAGTACGAAAATAATCTGATAGAAATGAGGAGGGAAAGTTATTTGGATGGGACTACATCAGGTTGCAACATTAATGCTTGGACTAGTATTGTAAAATTGAACACTATTAAGTGTATTCATATATACAGGAGCTGATACTGTACAGATATTTAGTGCAGTAGTTTTGAGTGGGTTTAGGACTATGCCTCATAATAATAAATAGATTTAACAGTAACACATACTGTAGTTACTGTATTGATTGAGAACCTCAAAGAAACAGTGCCTTAGTTTTGCTCACATGTAAGTTCATGGCAAAATTTCTATTGAACTTCCTTACAGCTAAGCTGAAACAAAATTGTGTAGTTTTATATAACTATACACAACAATTATTCTCTAAAGTTAATGTGAACTCATAACTTCAGTAAGGCCAACCACAAACTCCTATCAACCTCACACCTAGAACCTCCCCTTTGATTTTGAGTACTTCTCTGAAAGAAACACATAAAAACCTCATCTCCCAAATTCTTACTCTGCTATTTCAATAGTTTGATTTCTTGGAGACAGAACTACACAAAGCTCATTGATGTTGCAAACAGTCTGCATTGGCATTTGAGGGGAGCAATGAGTAGCAGAAAGCTGTTCTGAAAGCCTCAATGCAGCAGGGAAGCCACAGGCTCACACGCAGGCCAGGTGTTCTAAGAAAGGGAATTAATAGGGTAGACTTCAAAGTTCATAGAGGGAGCAACATTTTACACTTTAAGAAAGACTCTTAGGGATTCAAGCATGGGAAAAAAATAGTCTTTTCCTCATTACATGGGTTTTGTTTAAGTTTTGGAGCCTGCTGTTTGATTTGAAAGGGTCAGGAGAAGATGCTGCACCTGTGTATTGTAGGTGTTGAGAACATTCCTCAGCACTGTGATGTGAATCCCCTGCAACAGGCATGAGAGCTGCAGCAAACTACTCTGGTTTCAGGACCTTGAGGACTGTGTTGACAGGAGGATGTAAATGGTCCATTATTCATAACTGGCAAGCACCAGCCCTGTAGCATCTTTGTTCACTTCCATTTTCTCTTAAGTAGATGTCACTATTTTAAACTTTCTAAACGTTGTCATCTGTGGAAATCTCAAGTCAGTCCTAAAGATTTTAAACCAAGTGGGAAATTTTGGCTTGAAAGGGGGAGGGGGGGAAGACATTTTAGCAAATTCTCTGAAGAGCTTTTGGCATCTTCTGTCTTAGAAGAAATTGCCCTGAGTGATTGAACAAAACCAGACAATCTGAAAACCTTAGCTGTTGTAGTAACTTATTAGCTAATTTTTAGCCAGAAGAAAGTTAAATCGTCAATTTATTAATATTATCCTGAAATGACATTAATAATAATAGAATTTCAGTTAATGGCAGCATTATTTAATTACTTATTATAAAGGTACCTATGGCTGTTCACATCTGAGATGCAGAAAGTAATAAAAGACAGGAAGCTTTTGGTGCTCAAATGGATGGTTAAATTGTCTGGCAATGTTCTAGGTTTTAAATGGGCTTTTAAGTAATTCATATTGAACTTCAAATGTCAATATTCAAATAATCAAATGCTTTTCATGATATCAAGAGTAGTAAGTTTGGTTCTTTCGAAGCTGCAGAAGTGTGCTGGTTTCAGAAAACAAGAGCAAGTCTCAGTCACATTCTAATGCAGACTGTATATTTTAGAGAAGTTACTTTGAAAAGGCAAATTTGGCAAAAATTATCATGTTGAATCTTTTTCCCATTTAACAAAAAGTTATTTACTCAGTTAATAAAGAAGAGACAATTATGCAAAAAGATTTAATGGACTGTGATACAAGAAATTGGGAGGGAAAAAAGTATGTTTCTACTTTAGTTTGGTAGTGTAAAACAGGGACTAGTGTTCAAGCCTTTTTTTAAATCAGTATTTAGGAAGAAAAGCTGTCTGGATTGGCTTTGAGAATGGTATTTTTTCCTCCTGTTTTCAGTTTACTTCCTGTTTATCTTCAGCTGTTTAATATCCTAATACATTGATGAGAAGCTCTGAAACTGTCATTTCAATATTTTGTGATAATCAGTGCAGGCACAAGCTCCATCACTTCTCCCTTCAGTCTTACCTTAACACACAAGCCCTTTCATTTGCTGTATAAATGTTATTTTTAATAATTAAGGCATCACCTTGCTTGGCAACTTGTATCATAACATGCCTTATAGATGTCTTGAATTTTAAAAGAACAGTACATTTCAATAGTTGTCAAATTCTGACAGCTTTTCCTTTTTATTTTTAGGCTTTAGTTCTCTTTTTTATTCTTATTATTTTAATAATGGACATTTTCTATTCATTCCTTGGACAATTTTGCCCTCTTAAGTGAAACAAGGATAATCCAGACCTCCCCTGGTGGGTCTGGCTGCTCACAATTGTGCCAGACTTGGCAGTACACATCAAATTAGCTGTTACAGCTGAGTCTACTTGTACTGATAAAAGAACTTAAGTGTGTTGCTTGTGAGTGAGAAGCTTGGAAGGAAATTGGAAGAAGCAAAGTAAAACCTTCCTGAACTAACACCTACCACATTTCATCCTTCTTGAGCAAGTTCAGGGATTATTGCACATTTTAAAATTAATCTGAGACTGGTTGCCTTGCCAACTCTGCAGTATGTGGTGTTTCATAAATCAGCAGAAATGCAGAAAATTACAGTAAATATTGAACAAAGTGTCTTTGTGGAAAAAGATTTCTGTAGTTGACAGCTATGTTACATCTTAGTTAAACTGCATGCAAAATACATAGCTGTGATAACTAGATTGGAAGATGCTGCTAAATGTAACAAATCACTTCTCAGCTTCATGTTTTGCTTTATCTATGGCAACATAGAGTAATTAACTGATTTCTGAGAGGACAAGTATAACCTAAGTGTGGTTAAACCATGACACCCAAGGAAGTATAGGAGTATAGCAACAAGATCACTCAGTCTTGACTCATTTTTTTTTTCTTCTGGTGTCAATATGTAAAACTTTCTTCAAGGCATATAATTCCAAAATCTGAGCAATTTTTTCCTGCTGTTTTAAAATTGCTGATTTCAGAATTAGCATTTTGCTACCGATTTCTTCGAGTGATTTGAGTCTCCTTCCTGTGCCGATTTCACACAAGACTCAGGAATCATGTCTTAGATTTCTCTGTGAATTGGATCTCAAGGTTCTAATCTACAGAGATCATAACTTTCAAAGCATCACACTTCAAAGATAGGAATAGACATTCAGAATTCTGATTCCTATTTCAGCATTTAACATTCATGTGACACCAACCCCACTATTGTTTTTCAAACCAAATCACTAGTTTGCCATGTTTGGTTGGGGTTTTTGTTGTTGGTTTGGGATTTTTTTAAGTCTGTTTTCCATATGTTAAAAGAATTAGAAAAAAAAATTAATGGGAGATTTTGTGTTGTATTTTGTATGTCGCATGTTCATTTTGCAGCAGGAAGACATTAACCCTAGGGATAATTCTGGATGCATTTCCTTGAGCATTGAAATCACAGTTTCTATTTTGGTATGTGCTCAAATACCTAACCTGTCTACAGCATCCCACACAATTTTTTTTGTCCTACAAAAATGCTTGTTACACTGGCTAAAGCCATTCCAGTGTTCCCCCCTCAAACCCCATTTTGAGGCTACTACTCTATTTCCATTGCTCTTTACAGTCCTGTGATGTCAAGTGAAGCTGCAGCCCCTTGTTTGTTTAGAAACCACTGTCTAGGGCAGGGCAAATTGTACACCCAAAGCTTGGACCCAGTTCACAGAACTCCTGGAGGGAAGAAGCTGCAGGATTCAGCCTTCCAAAGGAGGTTATTCATCCATCCTGTAGACCCAGTGACTGCAGACTTTTGATTCAGTTCAAAACCACCTGCTCCAAATTATTGCAAACTATATTTAACATTATATCCTTTTCTTTTTTTTCAACTACTGCTTTCTATATAAGCTGCTGAGCCTAGAATTTTAAAAAATCAAGGTGTACTTGAGCCATTTGCTGTGAAGAGAAACCCAAGGTGTGGAACTTCACACTTGGCAGATGTTCTATACCATTTTCAAAAGTTATAAACTCTAAGCCCAATTTTGCCATGATTAGCTGTGTGAATATTGTGACTGGTGGCTAGTTCCAAACAAAAAAGAAGTCTGCTATGCAACATTTCTCCTACAACCTGATCTTTGCCTTTGTTAGGTGAGAAATTACTCTCAGGTTGTGAAGGCAAAGAGTTTTTTCCTTTTTAAATCCAAGACCTGTTCTGAAATTCACCTGACCTACAGCTGTTTTAGCAAGCTGCTTCCAAAATGTCAGCATTAATGTTAGCTATGATCAATATTTTTGATGTCATGATGCACAAAATAACCTTTTGGGGAAAAGAAATGCTAGTATTCATTTCAACACCTTAGGATACGAACTGAATTGAGATGTGTTAAGAAATATGCAAAAACTACCTCAATGTTCATGTGGAAATAAAACTTTAACTGGTTCTTACCTTTCAAGATTTATTTTTTTTTTACCCAAAGCAATATTAGTGGGCTCTTACACTATAATTTTAGGTTTTAAATCAAGCTTTACACATGCTGTCATCTTAGTTAAAGAAATTTTCATTGCTTTTCAGCCTTTTCAAAGGCAGTGAAATCTTCCTGCCATTAAAATTCCCTGTTGTGACCCTGAAAAACTTTGGAATGCAAACCTGAAGTGTGAAAATAACATGCTTTTTTAATAAATAAATATTTCATATTTGTAAATCTGTTGTGCTTTTCTTGCATGTTTAAGTAGGGGATTAAAAACAATGGAGGTGGTTCAGAAAGAAAATCTATTATTAATTTAGTGGAAGTAGTTAGATGTTCATCTCCTGTGCAGCTCTTAAAATATTTAGTTCTTTAATGACAGTAATATGTTCATTATAGTGAATTACATTCTTGGAGAATCTTTTTCCAACAAGGATTTTGCTTCATTGGAAATATTTGCGACTTCATAAAAAATTAACTATAAAATTATTTCATTAAAGCAAAGTCTCAGAGGTTTTTTTTTCATTCAGATAGTGTTTCACACTGCTTCAATGTGATTTTATTTGTATTTATTTGTTCCAGTGCATATTTTCAGAAAACAAGCATAGGAGGATTTTTTCAATGTGAACACACATTATTAATTTTGCATAACTACAAGAGCCCCTCCTAGCTGCATGTTTCATAGGTTTTAATTCTTAAATTCACAAATCAATTTTAAGACATGAATTTCAGTTACAGGACTGCTAGAATCACTACTAGTGCTGGCTGTCACTGGTAATATATGGGCTTGCAATAGTATATCCTAGGGGCTATTCAGCTTTAAATAAACAGGGAGAATGATACTGCCTAGCACACCAAAAAAAAAAAAATAAAATAAAAAAAGCTTTGTCTAATAACACCTAGAAAGGAGGAAGAGAACTGGCTGAGAGGCACTGCACAAATCCTGTGGTGAGGGCAACCACTGGCATAGAGCTTTTTATCTTCAGTTTCTGACATGGGACTCACTGCTTTTACTTTTTCTGCACATGCCTCAGAACTGGCTTTTAACTGATGTGGTTCTACACTTGTCAAGTCTTCACAGCTGTGGCCATTTGGGTGAAGAAAAGTGACCTCAGCTAAGCATTCCCAGAGGGATCCCCACGGACTGGGGGAGCCTGCCCACGGGGCAGTGGAGAGATTGGCTTTTTGGGACAGCTGACTCACTGCCCTGAACGTCCTTGGGATCCCCCTTGGGTCTTGTGATGGCAAGCAAGAGAAGCAGCAGTGTCAGCTTTGCCAGCTCACTTTTGCTAAAAATAGATCAAAGTTAAGTGAAGCGTGGCACCTGCACAACTGGCTCACCAGCTCTAGCATCTTCCAAAAAAGCTGTTGCTTGTAATTGGAGTTTATTTTTACTATCAACAGTCTGCAGTGGCAAAGTGTGCCAGTCTGACTGGCTGATGCTGTGCTCTGTGGGAAGTCTGTGGCAGAGCCTAGAGACGAACATACATCTCAGCATCTTAACCACAAGCACATCCTTCCTCTGCACTCCCCCCACAGCTTTAAACTGCATGAGTAGGGGAGGTTTTTTTCAGTGTTAATATGTTTGTTTCAGTTTAACCTCTGCCTAGTTTAATAAATAACTTGGATATACTAGGTGGAAAGTTAAATCTGGGGATTTTTATTCTTTTTAAGTGACTTTGGGCTAGAAATGAAGGGAGCTTGGTTTCCTGCATTCTTTTCGGTATTGTTTCATCTTAAATTAATTCATCCAAATCTCCTCTCCCATTCTTAAGCATCCCACGCACTGGATTCCATCCTCTGGTGTTGGCAACATCCCTGGATCCACAGTCCTGCCTCTGCAGAATTAGCCCTCGTCCATGGGACAGTATGTTTGATTGTGTAGGATCAGCTCTCCAGCTCTTAGCCTGGAATGCTTGTCTGATGGTTCCCCTACTCATTTGCATCCTAAACCACTTACTGAGTAGGCCAGAAAGAAAATCGATGCATGCTGTGCAGTCATATTGAAGTAAACAATTCACTGTGAGCTTCAAAAAGTGTCCAACATCGTTTTTAAGTAAAGCAGGAGAGCACTGCAGGATGACTCCTCCACGGAAGTGGAATCTGGGATGGATGAATGGTTATAGCTCCATCTCAGCTGCTTGGTTTTTTTTTTTTCCTTTTATTTTAAATTTAAATAGAGGATCTCTATTGGAGGGTATTTTAATATATCAGAGTGTTCTCGATGCAACACACTAACTCAGAGCAGCCAGACTAGGACCTTATTTTTTTTCCCAGCATTCATAGGTGTCAGGATGCAATGGATTTAATATGGATGCATAACTATTAAAATGTTACTAATCACTTAAGTGGTTTTGAGCAGTTACTGGAAGAAAAGGATCACTTTTCTAAACAAAAGCAGCATTGTGGGATCTCAAGTCATTAAAAAATTCCAAAAAATAAATTTGAACAGTTGGGAAACTGAGTATTTTGGCCACCTCAGTGCACACAGCCCAACAAGAAAAAGAACTTTTGGCCATTGTGAAGATCTGTAAGGGCATTTCAGAGTCTGCTGTGGTGCTCACATTTTAATGCCATGCTTTCCAATATCTACATTTTTGAGCAGAGATAAAAACCTCTCAGATTCTTTTCCTTACTGTGTCATAGGAAGAAAATAAACTTTATGAAAAATACTATCTCCAATAGGATTATAAGCAATGTCTGGCTAGTTGAACTTAGAGCGGATATTCCAGGAGGCTGATGTTAACTGCCTTTTATTCCTAGTGCCTTTCAGATTAAGGGGAAATTATTTAATTCAGAGTACTCATTAGGTCATGGACACTGACAATTGCAGCACTCAGTAGTTCTGCAACACTTTTCTTTGTGAAGAAAACCTGTTTTTCCCTACTATTTATTAAGGGGGGGAAGGGAGAAAGGCTGTTCATTGCTCTTAATGGGCCAATTTTTTAAAGGTTCTGATTGCTGGAGCTACTATTGCTTCTAGTTTGCTTGACCAAATAACCTAAAGGAGCTGCTCTTTCGTTTGTTGGCTTGCTGGGTTTTTTTGGGTAAACTTCCAGTTGCTGCCCTTAAAAACAGAGCCAGTTTGAGGTGTCTTAGTACTGAATCCCATGGTTACTCTATCTGTCTTTCCTTAATGCTGTTGCAAATCACTTTATGGGAGAGCTGAAGATAATCAACTAATGCTCCAACACCAAGAATATTTAATTGTATACTTAAGAGGCAGTGGTCTTCTCTGGCATTTGCTACTTCTAAGCAGAATTTCATCATTCATCATCAAATAATTATTTGGTATTAGGTTCTCATAAACACTCACGGTAGCTGTGTAAAATGCTATCCAGTCTGACTTCATCTGTGAGATCTGATACAAGTGCTTTGTTATGAGGTATAGATTGTGTTTCGACTTCACTTCTTGCCAGTTGCTTTGACAAATGACATCTTGGAAGAAGCTCGATGCCAATCAGTGTTCAATGCAAATCAAGTATTGAGCTGGAGATTTTGTCCTAGCTGCAATTGCTGAATGCCCAGTAAACATATACCTTCCAGGCTATTTACTAATGATTAACTAAGGATGGATAACTAACTAATGGATAAATTAAGGAAAGAGCTCCGTGGGTGCAGTTACGGAGAGCTGCGAGCCGTGGAGGAGCCTCTGCTTCCCTCAGAGAGACAGTTTGGTGATGCTCTGTCAGATCTCTGGAGATCTCTGGAGGTGCCACTGCTGGTGAGGGGGCTGCACTGTGCCAGCAGCTTCACCACACGACTCTTTGCAATCTCACTCTTACAGGAGTTTTGGTTTATTTTTAGGCCAAAGAGCTGCCGACGTTCAAAGACAATGATTTTATTAACGATGGCCAAAAGATTCATATTGATGAGAATGACAAAAAGATGTTCCTTGAGAAACTCAAAAAGGATGTTGAGGTAAGAACATTCCTATTCGGTTACATGTGATTGAAATATGTGGCAAATCATGGATATCCCAGGAAATCATACCTGTGATTCATTAATGAAAACTCTTGTTTATAAGACTGTAAGCACTGTCTGTTTTAAATGAACCACAATTTAAACTTTCAGGAGTTGATCACTGCTTTTGCTGCTGTGATAAATGGCTTGCTGCCATAGCTGGTTGCCATACATTGTTCCTGCCTTGATGATGTGATGTTAAAATGATGGTACTACTTAGCACTTAAGCACTTTACAAGCCTAGTACTTCCAAATGCTCCTGGGAGAGAGGTGAGTATTGTTAGTTGTATTTTACAGGTGGAGCTGCACCAGAGCTGAGGCCAGAGATGCACTGTAGTCCATAACAGAGGAGAGGCATCTCCCCCACTCCCAGCCATGCATGGCCTGGTTGTTTCATACTTGTACTCCAGTTTTAAATCCTTCTTAGTATCACAACTGTAGAGTGCTTTACTAATATGTATACAGCAGTTGGACTCATTATCTTAATGTAGTCTTTCCTAGAAATTTGTAATTGGTTGAATATAGGAAATACTTAATAGAAAAGTGTTAATGTGTGAATTTAATGTAATATGTTATTATAACTGATTTAGTTCAGCAAATAAAATAAATATCAGACTAACTCATTCACACAACTTGACTCTAGTTTGCATAATTTAAACTATTTTTACTAAACACAGTATTTTGCAGCTTTATTCTCAAAGCCCAAAATCTGTTTTCCTTGTTGGAGGAGACTTGATAGCAAAATGTGTCTGTGACTTAATAAGAGTACTCAGAGCCCCAAATCTGTTTTCCTTGTTGGAAGAGACTTGATATCAAAATGTGTCTGTGACTTAATAAGAGTTTCAGCTATTTATATCAAAAGAGCTCTGTAAATCAACTTGTCTAATCCTTCAGATCTGTATCTCATTAGTTGCACAAAACAAAATACTGTTACTTTAGAATCTACCCAATAATTTCCTTTTGAGGAAGTCTAATTTCCCATCATATTAACAATGAGAAATTTATGGCGGTGATGATGATGAAAATACAAATATTTTGTGAAATGTCAATGTGTGTTTATTTTATATTTAAAATATTGTGCTGGAAAACTGCTCTACCGATGTTACAGCTCTAGAGATAAGTTTATTTGGGTTAAACTTTTGTGCTCTTTTAACTTGTACTGCTATTGCTGACTAATGCTTTTGCAGTTAAGTAGGTTGCAGATAATATCTTAAGTGTGTGCAAGAAATGTGTGAGATAGTTTCTTACCCCAGGAAGTGGATTGTGTGTGATCTTCTACATCATTTCCTGGCCTGGGAATATAATGGCAGATTCCAGATCATGTTTTAAGAGGCTATTTTTTATGGAGTTGAAATTTGTATAGAGACTTGTTTAATATCCATGTAAACCACTCGTGTGAAGTGATCTGGCTCCTGATTTTAACAATGGCAAGCTGTTCTTTAACCTTGTCTTTCTTTTATTGGTTCTTCTGCCCTTGTTAGATAACTGATGTCCACACTTTGTAAACACATTTCACATTTCAGAAATTCAGTATACAATTACCTAATCACACAGGCTTTATAGTTAAACATATTATGGAGTTTTATGCTGAGCTATATGACCTTGTATCTGTTCTTTTTCGTCATTAAGTTTTGTTTCTAGATTTCTCTGGATTTTATTTCTATATTTCTCTCATAATCATGTCATGTGTCACCCTCTTGTATTCAAACACAAATACCTGTGACTGCTGTTTTGATGCCTCCTTGTCTACTTTCCCACCTCCTTATTCCATTGAAGTTGTCCTGTTAAAACGCATGTCTTTTTTCCATTTTAAATCCAATTATCTTTTCCTTGTGCTGATCTAAGTCTCTTTGCTGTTAGCAGCAGCACACATTTTTCCAAGAGCCATTCTCTTCTAATTTACAGTTCACTCTTTTTCCCTAGAGTCTGTTCTCTTTCATGCAGTTCTATATAATTATTGGTATTTTTTTTCCTGTATTTACCAAGTACCTAATGATATGCCTGGAGTTCTTCCACTCCATCTCCTTTGGCCAGTTCAGCTTATGTATCATTATACATCATCTCTTGAAACTTTGTTCTCTTCTAGTGTTGTGAAGAGTCTTTTGCTTTATTATATTGAAATTATTAAAAAGCAATTTCTGTCTTCTTAACACCTCAATCTCACAATATTTCTTCTAGCACTTGAATTTACAGTTACTTTGTTATCTCTGGTTTGTCTTTTTTCTCAGATTTAGGATTTTGGCAAGCTGTAGTTTCTCATTACCTAGTGTATTATACTCATCTCTTTCATCACCATCACTATCACTGTTCCAAAGTCTGGCTTAAATCCCTTCTTCCCTGGTCTGCTCCAACTTCCTTTTTATAATCATTTAGAGTTTATACAAACTGAAAACAGTTTTTATTTTCAGCCACAGTCTCTGCATACAATAGATAGGGTTGGACTCGATGATCTTGGAGGTCTCTTCCAACCCAGTTCATTCTATGATTCTGTGATTCTGTGAAAATTGCAGTATTGCTTTGGGGCTGCAGCACAGCTCTGCCCTGCTTATCCCTCACCCCCTTGAGCTGTTTATCCCATTTCCTGCTTTTACACCTTCCTTATTTCCATTTGCCTCTCTTACCTTTCTACCTCATCTTGTTCCCGTCAAGCAAAGTAACACCTTGGCTATACATAGAGTGTATTCATTTTTCCATTTTCTAAAACCTCCCATCCTCAGTCTCTATTGAAATCCAGCCTTTCATTCATCTTCATGTTTTGCTTACATGATTTAAATCAGGAGCCTATCACTGGGCAGGGAATACAGCATCATTTCATGTCTTCATGGTGTAAAACTGTATGGCTTTCCACTGCAAGAATATTGGAACACTTTTCCATGATTCTTTAGGAGGGCTTGAAAGGGAGTGAGGGGCAGATTCAGCAGCAGGTCATAGTGTGTCACACACCTGAGAGCACAGAGGCTGCTCTGGGTGAGCAGTGTCGAGGGCTGGGTGCAGTTTTGGGCACCACAATATAAGATATAAAACTATTGCAGAGCGTCCAAAGGAGGGCTGTGGAGATGGTGAAGGGCCTTGAGGGGAAGGCATTTGAGGAGTGCCTGAGGTTGCTAGATCTGTTCAGTCTGGAGGAGACTGAGGGGAGACCTCATAGCTATCTACAGCTTCCTCATGAGGGGAAGCAGAGGGGCAGCACTGATCTCTCCTCTCTGGTGACCAGTGACAGGACCCCAGGGAATGGTCTGAAGCTGTGTCAGGGGAGATTTAGGTTAGATATTAGGAAAATGTTCTTCACCCAGAGGGTTTCTGAGCTCTGGACCAGCTCCCCAGGGCAGTGGTCACAGCCCCAAGCCTGACAGAGTTCAAGAGGCATTTGGACAATGCTCTCAGGCACATGGTGTGATTATTGGGGATGTCCTGTGCAGGGTCAGGAGTTGGACTAGATGATCCTTGTGGGTCACTCCCAACCCAGGATGTTCTATGATTCTGTGAATCTAATTGAAACACAAGAAAGGAGTGACAGTCATTGGCTTACACACACACAGGTCTTCACTGCACAAAAAAAAAATTTCCCTGAGGATTTTGGGAGAGTGGGTTACAGTATAAATTTCAAGTGTTCTGTGTGCTGTTACTACATCTTGATAAACTCAAGTGTCTCTCTGCTAGCTTTATCACTTAATCCTTCCCTTTTTTCTCTCTTAGAAGTGCCTGTTTTTCTCAACCAATGACACTTTTGTGTAACTTCTGTTTGTAAGTGCAGTTTACGTTCTTCAGTGACACTGATAAATTGCTTATTATCACTTTCTAGTTCCTTGCTCAGTTAAAACTCATGGACTACAGCTTGCTGGTTGGAATTCATGATGTTGAAAGAGCTGAACAGGAAGAAGTAGAGTGTGAAGAGAATGATGGAGAAGAGGAAGGTGAAAGTGATGGGACTCACCCCATTGGAACCCCTCCAGACAGTCCAGGAAACACACTGAACAGCTCACTGCCTTTGGCCCCAGGGGAATTTGATCCAGCTATTGATGTTTATGGAATAAAATCCCATGAAAGTAAGCAGTAATAAATATTTTTATGTTAAGATGGTTTGATTCTTGCGTCAGAATCCTAATGTCTTCACAACCACGTGAAGACAAATGTAAACTGCAAAATAAAAGTTCACTCTGCAGAAAAGGAAATTTGCATTTTGGTGCAGCAGAAAGCAGAAGATTCCTATATTGCTTAGCTGTTCAGGTAAGTTCTTCAGCAGTTAATTCTTAGCTTTTTCAGCCCCCTCAGGAAATCTCGTATCTATAATTGTTCTTTTCCTCGTGGATAAGATAATGCTGTTAAATATGGTCTAGAAAGAATGAGAAAAGCTTCATTCCAAGTTATATTTAGCTTTTTGGTTGCTCTCTGAAAATCTGTGCACTCATCCCCAATTTCTGTGTTCCAGCTAAGAAAGTCATCATAAGCACTGTGTAAGAAGCCTGAAACTGGGTTAGTGTGTAAAACTAAGTATAACTAGTTACCTGTGGCTGTTCAAGACAGAGAAGTTCTCTCTTTTTTTTTCATAAGCATTGAAATGGATAAATACATGGGTTTATTCAGAAAGAAAATATGATCTTGTTTGTTGACACAGAAGCATTACCTTTCATATAAAACTTCATAGTTTTTCCACAAAGGAAGATGAAATCCATGTTACTTTAACTGAGCAATAATTCCTCTTTCTGTAAGCTGGTGTTTTATTTTATGCTCACTCAGGGGGGTTTGCATTGCACATGACTGCAGTTAAACTCTCAGGTAAGGACAGCTTGAGCCTGTGGTCTTTACAGATCTGTGATTCTGGCTGACATTGACCTGTCTTAGCTGCTGATTGAGTCTTAGATGTTCTCCTTTGTTAGAGGGAGGACTCCTGATTAAGATGTTTCAAAAGTCTTTCTAACTGCCCTGTGTTTGCTGTTTGCAGATGCCCCTAGAAAGGAAGTATACTTTATGGCCATTATTGACATTCTTACTCATTATGATGCAAAAAAGAAAGCTGCCCATGCTGCAAAAACGGTAAAGCACGGGGTGAGTATCTGGGTTGCTTTTTTCCTCTTATCCCATTTACATTCATACATTTTTGTTGTTTAGTGCCCTGATACAGGAGATTTCAGGAAACCTAGGCTAAGGGGAAATAGATCAGAATTATTTTTCATGTTTAGTGTGCAATTAAGAAGTACAGAGTAACTGCTGCACATTACATACTGAAAGTGGAACTCCTTTTTCAGCCCTACATGTACCTTTCTTACCCATAAAGAGCTCTAGTCAGATGCCTTTTTAGGACTTTGTCCTAAATTTATGAGATGCACCTTATTCCTGCAAACAAAGCTGTTCACCAGATGCTTGTGGAGGTATACAGCACTGTGAAAGCTGTTGTGAAGCTTATTTCAGATGCAGGGCCTTACTGATGGTTTCATTATTTGGTACAGCCCGTTGAAGTTAGTTCTTCAGCATCTAATGTGCCTCACCCTACAAGACTTCTTCAGAAAAAAAGATGCAATTTGCAAAATTCAACATAAAATGTACACATTAATTACTCAGAGACTGTTCAGCGAAGTTTGATGGACATGAACTTACTTATTTTGACTGAAATTGCTGCTTAGCAGCAGACATCTAAGAACCATGGTGAAACAGCCCAGTCTTCTACATTTATGATTTATATCTACCATTGTCACTCCTGTGGTGATTTAAGGTTCAAATTTCATAAACCTTTTTAGAAGACCATAGTCATTCATGAGGTTAAAATCCCTTCTCTGTGTAAGTAGCTAAAGGGTGAGGTTAGTTACAGAGGTGAACAATGTGACATGCTTAGGCCCTGTAGAAGGTACTTTTTGTCTCTCTAAAGCAATCCTGTCCTTACTCTCTCTGCTCTTGGGGCAGCAGAAGGTTGTTCCAGACCACATGCAGCCATTATCTGGCAATTATTCAAGAACTTTGAATGTAGCAGACATTAAAAACTCACACTTCTGGCTTAAATTAGGAATAGAAATATGTTGTAAATAACAACCATGATTATTGAAGCTGATTGTGATTAGAACTTATTACAGAACATTACTTTCATACAGCCATTCTGTTTATTTTGCTGTCTCCATCCTGAGCCACCCGACACTGAAGTTCATTCACTGATTGTATGCATACAATTTTCCCCTTCTGTAAAACAGGAAAAATGTAGCTAAAAATGTAGCTAAGGCTCTGAAAGCCTCAAAAATAGGAATGAAATCATGACTTCATTGAAACAGCAATTGTACAGTTTATTCAGTGAGTCCAGGCTTAAATACATATATGTTGAAAAAAGTGTTACTAATTGTTACCATATATTTCAAACCAGGTTATTTAGCATTCAGATAACAATATGTGTTATTTAAGTGTTGACAAGCCAGATCTGAGTGTGGTAATTCAGTCTTCTCTATATGAAGGCACTGCTGCTCAAGAGACCAGAATCTGTTGGTGAATCAGAATCACAGAATTTTAGGGGTTGGAATGGATCCTACAGATCACCTAGTCCCAACCCTCCCTGCCATGGGCAGGGACACCTCCTCACTAGGCAGGGATGCTCAAGGCTCATCCAGCCTGACCCTGAACACCACCAGGGTTGGTGTATCCACCACTTCCCTGGGCACCCTGTGCCAGTGGGTTGATTGGGCAGTAGGAATTCATATAGGAGACTGAAGTACAATGAAAGTAAAGAGAAATATGGAAAGTAGAAAGACTGTTTCAGAAATGGAAGATGGGTATTACAGTGGTGAGTGCTGAGTTATCACTGTCCTTGTGTGAAGTCTAAGAAGGCATCAGTAAGATTCTGCTTGAGGTCCATTACAATTTGTGTTTCTGGTTTTGGTTCTGAGGCTGCACATGAAATTTATTGACTAAGTGACACCCTGGGTGGCAAAGCATCAATTAAAACTCTGGCTCTTCCTTCTTTCCTCTCCCCTCCCAATTCTCTGTCTAGGCTGGTGCAGAAATTTCAACTGTTAATCCTGAACAGTATTCAAAGCGCTTCTTGGACTTTATTGCCAACATCTTGACGTAACCTATCGTGTTACATAGGACAGACACGAGACCTGGGGACAGCAGCAGTGGCTAAAAGTGGAGGGAAAAAAAAGAACTCAGAGAAGGACTCATCTTGCAGAAAGCAACCCCTTTGTTTACATCTGCTGGCAAAGATGACTGAAGTGGGGTGGAGTACTTGCTTTAACAGCTGCCTGATATTCCCAGCATAGTTCTAGCTATTTCTGACTCTTTTGTGTGTGCAAAAAAAAAATAAAATAAAAATTTAAAATAATTTAAATAAATAGAACAGCTTACTCAGAGTGCACTGTGACAGTAATACTCTGATGCTACCAGCTGAAACGGAATAAATGAGCAAAGAGGTGTGGGGTGGGGGTGGGGAAGAGTAAATGCATGTTAAATCTACAATATTGATATCAAATTGTAAACTGTGGATCAGTTTATTTTTTGAACTAAAAAGATACATGACAGTATTCTTCATGATGATGATGATGATGATGATAATGATGATGATGATGATGATGAAGACCTTACGAAAAAAAAGAGGATTACACCCTGCACACTGGCACTCCTTAAAAAAGCAGCTGCAACAGCCCTTGGTGCCAGAAGCTTTTCCCATTTGGTTCCTAGCAGTTGGGTTTTTCCCTTTTTTTCCTCCCTCTCCTGTTTTTGTCTCCTTTTCAGCACATTGCATCAGGAAGTTCAGCCTCTCAGCCACCTGAGAGCTGGCACCTCTTATCTTACAAAGAGCTAACGTCGTTCATGCTGTGTGTACATTTTTGCTATAGTCAACTTATGTTAAGGGAAAACTTTCCTCATTTCAGTTTGTTACCTGAAGTTTTCTTTTGTTTTATATTCTTGCAAGTGTAAAAAAAAAAAAAAAAAAAGAAAGAAAAAAAAGAGGAAAGCTTATCTGAAGAAGTGCATAGTTTTGGGCAATAGTAGCTCCATCTTTCACTCATCCTGAAAGATGTGCACACTGATAGAAATTCCATTCCCTTGTAATTTACTGGGAATTTGAAGTTGAAATGCTTATGTCGTACTGTGGAAACAGTGGTATTTTATTATAGATTATCCCTCGAGAAATGAACCCTGAATTTTACTGTTTACATTATTAGGAAAGCAGGGATATTTCTGAATTTCAGAGCCGTGTACAATATATGACTTTTGAGTTTACATGTAAAGTTATTTTGCAGTACAAATGAAGTAATGTTTGTCATCTTCCAAGAGGTAATGTGCAGTAGTGTACTAAAGTGAATGTCTCGCTCACCTCCATGACAGACTCTTTTACAATAAAAAGAGAAAGGATATTTCAGAGGGATTTTTTCCCAAGGTTGTCTTTCAGCATCAAAATGACCTGTCCTACCATTTACTCAAGTTTGATTGTATAATACATTGCCTGAAACTGTGCTGATCATGTTTAACTTGTTTCAAATTTTTAAACCACATTGTATTCCTTTCTCCTCTTGTATTTTTCCCTGAAAGACTCCATGCTTGAAAGAGACAAATTTACATATGCTTAAAAGTTTATCTACTTATACACTGTGCTAAAGCTGTGCCTTTAAAATTTCTTTATTGAAATTGTTAGATTTTCTAGGCAATGTAAGAGAAGTCAAAGCCTCCCCATCGTCGTTTCTAACTCAGACCAGGAGTGCCAGCATGCCTTGTCCATGACTAACGTCAGTGCTGTTCAGCCTGCAACTCTGCATCACCTGTGTAGTGGTTTACTTCAGAGGAGCCTATACAATAGCAACACATTTCACTCTCTTCAGTGGCCAAAGGCAATACTGTCCCTGTTGCTGTGTACTCATTATTTTTCTCCTTTCCCCGACCTTTCCCACAGGTTTTGGTTTTTTTTTGTTACGTTTGACTTAGTGATGTCTGCAGCACTGTAATGTATGTGTATACTTTTGTATTGTATGTATTTAAATAAGTTGGTACTGTGGCTTGGTTTGGGTTTTTTTTCTGTCCTCTCCCTATATATACCCTGGTTGTCTACGTTCTCACACAGCTTTCATTTTCTGCAGCATGCTGTGGCTTCTGAAGGTATGTGAGGCCACAGGGAGACCCTGAAGTAAAAATAAGGTACATGTACTTGGAGTACATATTTAATTGCGGCCACCGAGTGTACATTTTTAGACATTTACAGCAAGGCATTCTTCTTGTCTGTGTAGCATTTTTGTCACTCATTCTTGTTGATAAACTGTTTATTTGGACAGGGCAGGGAAGACTCATTATTGTGTATGTTAGTGCTTAGATTACACTCCAAACATGAGCAAGGCTTTATAAAATAAAGCACTTTGATGACTCACTAGGTAAATCCTTTGTTCTTGTGTTTCACCTATGGGTTTGATCACTTACAGATGAAATTTGGATGTCACATGCCTGTATCACAGGGGGAAAAAAAAAGAAGAAAGAAAACTTAGAAAAACTTGAGGTTTTTCACTGAATTTTAACCTGCTTCTTCCATGCTTACTTTAAGGGGCTTGAAACATTTAGCCTTTGGGGTTTTGGGCTGAGGCTGGGCTATAAGAGCAAATACTGAGGTTTGGAATCAGCAACTCTATGGACTAGATCCTATTATTGATAGCAAAACAAAAAGATCATCCATGATAGTTAATTGATAGAAGGATTGGCAGAACTTTGCTAACTGTGATCTTATGCTAAACCAGTTATTTTAAAAGTGTTTGGAAATAAGCCCAGATGAGCATGGGAAGGAGGGAGGGCTGTGTGCTCTAGGATTTCAAGGCTTTGATTGTCAGGACTTTCAGCTTATGATACAGCCTGTGCTGCACGTTGTGGGCAAATGGCAGAAAAGTGTCTTCTTGTCTTTTATCTGACTTAACTTTTAATACATCTGTCACTTTCCCTTTTTTTTTTTCAGTTTATTTCACACACGTAGCAAGACAATATTTTCAGCAGTATTTTTACCTGTAAAATACACGTGACAGAATTAATGATAAGGTAGATATACCCCAAAGACAAGGTGGCTGAGGAGCTGTTCTATTAAAAGTAGGTGGAGTGATAGAGAGGGGAGAGATTCAGCTTCTTAATTACTCACTTAATGATGTCTTTAGTATTAATCTAAGGCTGCACTTCCCACAGCTGCTCCAGCTGCTTAGGGCTCGGTGTGAACGTGGTGCTTAAGGAATGCTGCACCATTAGCCACGCTGAGCAGCTGCAGGACCTTGTCTTTAGTACAAGTGTGTATATGGCAATGTATTAGAAAGTAATATCTTTTCTGATAAAGTATTTTCTCTCCATCTCACCTGAAGAAACCTTGAAGTGATGATATCCAAGGCAGGAGATCCAACGGGCTCGTTAATGCAAAGACTGTGACAAAAGAAATATGTAAATTAAAAATTCCTGGAAACAGGACATTTTCTCTGTCAACTGTATAACCTAAATGTATAATCTGAATTTCCAGCTCACTCCCTTGTGCCTACTTCTTCGTTTCCAAAGTAATACTAGTTAGCAAGTCCCTGCATTGAGTGGGACCATTGCATTCTGATGGTCTCATACCCCTTTATCCACTGTCTGCTCTGTATGTGCTGTCCATTTGGTTTCTTTCAAACTCATATATTTTAATTTATATTAAAAAAATATAAAAACAGAGAGCAGTGAACTTAAAGGAGAAATCTATTTCATCTCTTCCTGTCTGTCCTGATTTCGCTGTGGCAGGAATTGTTTCTGGAGATCAGTGTTCCCTTTACACTGCCAAGTGGCAAAGGCCATTTGTGTGAGATTAAAATCATTAACAACAGCTTTCTTAAAACTGTTAGAAAGCAGGTCTGGAATGGACTTGAAGAGGTAGTTACAGTCTGTCCCAGAGCAGTTCCACTGGAGATAAACATTGGGGAAAATTGGGTTAATCTTTTCCAGGGAGGGTCCCATGACTTCCCTGTGCTATCCCTTCTTATGTCTCACGAGACCTATCGTTAGAAAGATCCTTTTCTAAAATCTTACCTGACTATATTACTACACTTTAAGCCCATTAATATTTGTTCTATCTACAGTGGACCCCGAGCACAGTTTATTCTCTTCCTCTTTCAGTTTCTCTTAATGTGATCCTGCTCTATGTACCGAACAATGTCAATATTAGCTTTTGCACACATTAAATTAAATATTCCTTTTTCTTATTTAACAAAATGATCAGAATGGTTTGAGTGAGGCAGAATGACCTGTTCCATTTTTTTGTAATGCTTAATTTTTTTTTAAAAAAAAAAAGTTTAAATGGTGCTTCTTGAATTTCTGTTTTGAGAATTTCCTAACCATCCATTGCTGTTTGAACAGAATGCAGTTTCAAAATGAGGAGGGCTAATGCTTGGCTGTAGTCATTGCTAAAACTGCAATAAAATACTGCTTTTTTCTTTTCTCAAAGTAAACAATACCATGATCTTAGCTTTTCTAATGATAATCCTTTTTCACACCTTCTAGTCTCATCTCCATTAGTGATATGACATAAAATCATTATTTGGTCCTAAGTATTAAGATACAAAAATTACTTCTTTGCAAAGTGGCATAAATTCATTCTTACCCAGTGCTCTGAATATTTGTAGGCGTTTTAGTTATTGCCCAATATGTTTGGAGTTTATAAAAAGCTCCTACTTCGTTCCAACTCATCTGATTCATTCATAGTGACTCATTTTATTTAGCAATGTGTATCCTATTGGAATAAATGGCATTTGTGAGAACCTTGTGTTTTGAAGAGGTTTGGCACTTCCACACAAGCCTGGAAGGTAATTTAACTCATTACATTGCTGGTATTTCCCCTTGCCTCTCTGTAGTAAGCCCAAGGCCAAAGCACTCCACTTTCTTTTCCATTTTATGTATTTTTGAGTGGATGCATAAAGCTATTTTCTTACAAGAATAGCTGTTATTCGAATGTCTAGAGTGCATTTGGCATTCCAAGGCAGGTAGAAGGGCTGCAGGTACTGGGCTGATAATAATTCTAGTTTTCCTTCCACCACCTGAGGAGAACAAGGACATGTTTGATTCTGGTTAAGAGAAAGTCCCATGTTCCCAAGATGTGCCTGCTTATCCTAGCAGCTTGGATTCAAATGATGCATAAGGATCTTTTCTGCCCGAGTAGCTCTGATTAATTAGTGCCTACTTTAACCAGGCACATAATGCTAAATTGAACTTTACACTCTGGGTCAGGGCCCTATCTCCCTTCACACTGTGGAATTGCATAACAAAACAAAATATTTTCTGCCTTGAAGGTCTTTTCACTTATTTCTGTAGTAAGTCTTAGACAGAAGCTTATTTGTACATGAACTGCACCAAAAACTTTGTATTTGAGGTGAGAGACTGCTAAAATATCAAACAGTACTGTGTGATGATGATCATCTCTTTATAGGGTACAATGGGAAGAATCTGCCTTGAGTTAAGCATAGTGATAAGCATTCTGCCCTGCTCAGTACTGCTCTGCTGCTTCAGTCGTGGCAAAGCTCTGTGTGGAAGGAAGAATTGCAGTGTTTGATCTGATTACACTGTACAGTGCTCTGGAGCAGGAGTTTGCAAGTTGTGTTTCACATGCCACAAGCTGCAGCATCTCAGTGCTGGGCTGCTCTTTCAGCCCAGGATGCAGAAGAGTCTGTTGGAAGAGGAAAAGCTGAGTATGCATTTGTGGCCTGGTGCTTTTAGAGATCCTGGTCTGGAGAGAGAAAAATGTGCTTTCTGTACAACCTAGTGTTACTTCAGGAGTTGTGGTGTTTGAAACCACCTTGGATTTAAGAAATGTTGTGTCACTCCTCATGGCACTTTCCCTGTCAGCCACTAGCCTGACCAAACTGCAGTGCCTTGTTAACTATTCTAAACATTTTCTCATGCATTGTGTAGCCTGCTGATCTCCCACACCAGGC